AAAAAAAAAAAAATTCTAAAACTTTTTTCGTTTCTAAATAATACTAAATTCTTTTGTATAGATCACATTTTCAAGCCTCTTAAAAGCATACTTTAATCTTTGGCATAACATAAAATAGTACTTTGTGTCTACAGTTTAACAAAATGATAATAAAGCGACAGGAAACCAAATAACAAATTGGGAAATTGCAGTATTGAATAAAAATTAGAACAGAATTGTTGTGAATTTGATTATGAAAAACACAAACACATTTTATCTGATGATTATCAAATACGAAAAATTCACTGCATTTATCAAGTATTTGATGATTATAAAATAATTGATAAATTATTCAGAGGAAACTTGCTTATACATCTCTTAAAAAACACTTTTATTTTGATGATTATAATGACAGTTTAGTCCTAAATGAGTTTTCCTTGAAAAACTACCTAGAAAATACAGAAAAACCAAATAAACTGAAAGCTTTGTAATTAAAACTAAAAAAACCTCACTTAAAAAAAACCTAAGATTAACCATGTCTAATACAGCTGTTGGCTTATACTTACGTACTTCAACTCACTATCGTCTGTTTTTTCTGGTAACAGAGATAATGCGATATTTCAGAGCTAAATTTTTAAAGAAAAAAACTACAGTCGTTGAAGTTGTCAGAGAGTAATTTTGTCAGATACACTACTGTAACACATTATTTTCGTTATGATTTATTGAATCTTTCCACTGTACAACTCATAAAGTAACCCTAAACAAAACAGTTGAATGCATTGAGTGAACTGTCTATAAAAATAAAAATTTGAATAAAAAAGAACAGAATCTTAAAGAAATGCTATCTTTTTATTATTTTTAAGATCGCAAAAAAACAATTGAAAGGAAAATACTTCTTATTATCTAGAGACGAGGTTGTTTTTTTAGAAATAACAGAACTAAAATGTTAGTCTAATTTTTGTAGCATAATTTTAAATACTCAAATATCACTGACAAATAAAACTGCACTTGCTGAAGCACATCAAGTGATATATACAGCTGGCTTCTGACCACTTATCAGCAATTCATATCTAATTCTCTTTGACAAATTGTTCTTCTAACATGGTCTTAACGAAAGCAATTTGTTACAATTGCTAAGATAATACTCGAAAAAAAAAATGAAAGAGAGAAAACAATTTCTACAGCAAAGATAAATTGGTTTATTCATTAGTGGCAATCGGTTAGTCTTGATAACTGCAAAACAGTAGACCAGTCTAACTATTTTATAGTTTAAAACTATTAAAGTAAAAGCAAAAAAAAATAAAGTGAAAAAAATTCAACAGCTAAAGAAGAATTGAAACCAATGACTGTAAAATAAAAAAGTTATATTAGCATAATTCATTATAGGCAAGTTTTTTTTAGAAGTCAGATTTGAAAAAGCGATAGATTTTAATGGTTGAACATTTGAAGACATTTTTGACGATTCAACGATGCTACATTCTTGACTGCAATTTATTCTACTAAACATTATTGGGTCATCTCGGCAAAAGCTACACTCAAAAAATTTGCGTATCTTTTTTGACCTCTCTAAAATTTAAAGTCATTTAAATTAGAGCAAAAAAGTTTCAAAAAAAAAATTGACGTTCTACTAGAAAGTTTTTTTTTTGATAAGGTGGTATCCACAACTACAAAAAGTTGATAAAAACAAAATTTTTTTTATCTTTAATTAACTGTGACCGATTTAAGCAAGAATTTTTGAGTGTTAAAGTGATATTTGTTGTAAAATTGGTTAATTATTGAGCCACAAATTTTCGTCTCTATGGTGTAACTAGGCTATTAAAATTTAAATTTACAACAGTGTCTTTTTTTTTTTCGCTTTTACTTTTATAAAAAAAGAGCAAAAATTCTGAGTCACTTAATTATTGGTTTTAAGAGCGTATTTAACGTATTTGTGATTTATTATTTGCATCCTAAATTATCTGTCTGCTTATCGGTTCAGTAGTCATTTTATTATTTTTTTTGGTGGATTTTGGTTATGTACTTTTTACCGCCGAACAATAGTCACCAATGATTTGCAAAAAAAAACCTAACTGTTCGACTTCTAAGCAGATGAATGTCATTGTATTTTTAGTGTAATACTTCAAATGTTTCCTGCGGTTCAAAATATTTGTTGCCATTTACAGGCAACAATTTTTTTTTTCTAAACTTTTTTTTGCAGTACTGTTTCAGAACTGATTTTCTTTGCAGTTCAGTTGTAATAATTACGTTTTGTTTCATATTTTCTGCAGTTACTCGTGTACAAAAAAAAAAAATTTATGATTTGTCATAACAAGTAATTCACTTTTTTTTCGGCTTTATTTTATTCTGACAACAATGTTTATAGGTTCAAATAGGCGATTAATGCAGTAATAAAAAAGGTTTAATATATATTATAGCAGAAGCACAAATATTTGTGTCAAAATCGATGGCACTAAATTAACCAGGCATTATTTTTGTGACATATTTTTTTGAACTTTTTATTGTTGAAGTCACTTTTGATAC